GGGGGGAGGGAGAGAGAGAGAGAGAGTATTACCTGTTTCTTATCATACCAAGGAGCATACTTGGTTATGGAGAAAAGCTTCAATGTGTTGGCCAGTTGATTGGCAATGATCCTTGTTTGGGTCAAGGGGATCTTTGCATCTTGGTCCCCACTAATCACAAATTTCCCAAAGAAAAGGAGAAAATCAGACGCTAGAACTTGTTAAAATATGACACTGCCTAATTTTATGTAGTTGGAAGTTCCAACCTGTAGAGCAAGACTGGTATATTCTCGTTGAGAAGGTGAACCATGAGTGGCATTACGTCCATGTCCAAATTGTCTTCTTGATAGACTAGAGGCCTGAATTTCGAAAGGAAAATCAATTCTCCTGGTAAGCTTTTTTTATAAGAGAGAGAGAGAGACCCTGAGCAAAAGTCCCAGTGAAAGGGCAGATGAGTGATGTTGGCATGAAGTGCTTTTTGGACTTCCGGCTTGTTCAAGTAGGCAAACACCCTATCTCCAAGACATGGGTCACCACTTCTTATACTCAAAGATCTCTGTCAACCTCAAACAAAAGATCCAAAATCTCTTAAACAAATGAAATTTCACACCAATCTCTAAAATCCACTAAAAACACAAACGCTAGTTCCCACCTTTGCTTGAATCTTTCCATGAATCCCTTTAGGGAAGACTCCTTGTAATGAAGACCCATTACTTAAGCAAATGGGTAAGAGGATGTCCCCTCTATCTGTATCTGGTCCCAGCTCATCATTCACTATGTTGAACACATCATTGCAAGCTTGCGAATATTGGTCGTGGACATAAAATCGAAGATACGTCGAAATGTTACACACTGTTTTTTGGAGCTTCAGTGCAGAATCAGAAATGACTCCATGTGCCCATAGGAAGTCCTCTGAATTCACACTTATGTCCAAGTCCAAAAGTGGATTCCCAAGCTGCCATGATTAAAAACAAAACTTCCATTGATGCATTATGCATTGAAATAGACTCTATATCCTTGTACAAGTTTTTCTGATTTCGGAGATTTTTCAAAATCAAACAAGTGGTGGACAAATGAAAAAGCTTGATGAATTTTGACTCATTTAGCTGTCTCAGAATGTTTTTGTAGCTTGATGAATTTTTGACTCATTGAAGATTTTTCTTGTCTCAGCTTCTTTAAGTAGCTGCAGTAGAAGTGTTTAAAGTCATAGAATTATTACAGCGATTGCCTTGAGCTTGATGGGTCTTATGTTGGGTTGTTTGTTGTAATCCACCAAGAGGGTTGCAAGCTGTGGTATATAATGTCCTGTTTATGCAAAATCTCTTCTTCAGTTCCAGTACTTTACTGAGAATACCATGAGTGAAATTGGTTGAAATTGCCAAAATTGTGCTCTACGCATTGGGATTTAAGATTTGATTTGAAACACTGCTTGATAGTTTTGATTGATTTAACTATTGTTGGTAATGCGGAACTGGTTTAATACCTGCATAGCTCTCCCCTGTTAAGTAAAGGTCAGAGTCTCTATAAGCCGGAAACTTTTCGAACCAGTTGATGAGGAATCTCAGGTTGTCCTTGGCTGCAATTCATAAACAAGAGGAACAAAGATTGAAACGTCCTCATTGATTGGAGATCATTTCAATTTCATCATTTTCTCAAAATATGATTTTTATACTTTAGTCGTATGGTAAGGTAGATAGCAGAGAAAACCAAGGTGTGTGAGGATAGTTGATCGTACCAGTTGTAGTGTCATTCCAATGGATGTAATCCGAGCTTGTATTTGAATAGGAAAAACCAACTCCGATTGGGCTCTCCACATACAACACATTGGACTCTGTTCATTACACAAAGCATAAAGCATAACAATATCATTGTTATGCCAACCCTGATACACTTTCTGGTGTTTTTTGTAGAGAGACGTACCCAAATTCCATGAATATTTGTTGTGAATTAAGGTAAAGTTATCACCAGGCTGAAAAGGACCATGTTCCATGAATGCGCCAAATCCAAGTGATGAACATCCAGGGCCTGTGCAATTCGCAGTTCTTAACAATAGCCAAAAACATGGGAGAGAGAGAGAGAGAGAGAGAGAGAACCTCCATTGAGCCAAAGCGTTAATGGGCGGGAGATGGAGTCATGGGCATCGGCCTCGACAAAATAGTAGAAGAGGGCTCTACCATGGTTAGTATCTGTAAGGACGTAACCTGAATACTGCTTGAAAGAAGAGTTCGGGGGTTGGCCTGGTAGTTGTGTTATGAGGTCTGAATTGAAAGGGATTACAGTGAGAGGGAAGAGTAGAAGGAGAATTAATTGGGAGACCCATGGAGCCATGATTGAAGCTTCATTAAAGAAGCTGAGACAAGAAGAGGAAGCCTATTTAAACCCATATGAAACAATAGTGAATGTGAAGGTTGTTTGTGTCGTTCACATCAATGCAGTGCTTTTTCTTTTTGTGCTCGTCTTTGACCACGCACCAATGAGACTGCTCACTTCTTTTCACTCCAACCGTTAAGCACAAGAGAAAGAGAGAATTATTTTTCCTATGGTCTTTCTCTATGGGTGGGTAAGAGGAAAAATAACATGAAAAAAGGTGTGAAAAACTGTTAAAAGTGGAAACTACAATGAAGGGCAGGTTGGATTCAGGCTCGCTCTAAGCAAAGGGAACAACATCTAGATACTCCATTGGTTTGACCCAATGGTTTAAAAAACGGATCGGTGACCCGGATAGGGGATCCAAAAATCCGATCCGGATCGATGAATTGGCGATCCGGATCGGGAATCGGGTGAATCGGTCAGAATAAAGTTTAAAAAAAATTCGAAAAAATTATTAAAATTCATTATAAATACTGTTTTTTAGGAATTCAATAAGAAATGAGGGTACTCCATTAAGAATTTTCATGTTTTTGAATGAATATGCGAATATTGATATGTTCTTTCCTTGCATGAACCGCCATTCAGCATTTAATTTACATCACACAAAAGGATAAACATAGAATTATCATGGAATAAGTATATCAACATACATGGACTACAATAAAGCATAAAATTAGTAATATATGTTCTAAAAATAAAATGATAGACGACGTTATTGTTCTTCTTGGTCACGCTAGTGCCATTGATTGAATTCGTTTAACAATTTATTGATTC